ACTCCATAAGGAAACAGGCGGAGGTCATATTTGCCGAAAAGGGAGGAGCCTCCGGAAGAACAGATAGTCCTGATGGGTACTAAATTCTAGGCGAGGTATACTCAATCAATCACCCAAATCTGGGTGAAGATTATTTAATCATCTAAATTCGGTTACTGGAGGTTTCCTAATCGATATTTAGGGGGAAAAAAAGGGTATATGCTTCCTTTAAGCTAGATGTTTTGGCGAAGAGACCTGCACGCTAACTTAAGCGATACAAAAATCCTCGCCAACATGAGGTGACGAGTATCCTTATTGAAAGTTGTAGTCCTGATTATGACTTGCTTTCGCTTGTTTTTGACAAGCCTGATGGGCATGTGGCTGCACCGATTATGCTGATAAAAAAAGTATTTTGGACAAGGACATTTTTGGGAAAATAAATGATTTGGGAAAAATTTCTTTGGAAAATCTACATTGGGAATAAAAGTTTTAGAAATATTCTCCATTGGTAAAATGGGTTTGGGAAAAATGACCGGTAACCATCGACGGAGCGTCTCAGGACTAATCGATCGCTATCAATACGACTGCAATAAGGTAAATAACAGGAAAAGTAGCGATATACATCGGCATCGGCAACTTTGGCCCGTCCCGTACATTAAGAAACGTACGAATTTCGCCTGTTTGACCCTGACGGGAATTAAACCTAAGTCTAGGGTTAAAATAAATGTCGTTTTCGTCATCAGCACCCTCAAAAACATCAGAAACAATGCAAAAACTCGAATAAAAAGAATGTTCAAGAAATACCCCGCTGGGATTTGAACCCGGGTCCGAACTTCTCCGATTCACTCGAAACTGGCACCATTGGTTTTCTCTCGTCGCCCCGATTCCAAAAATACCCCTACATGCCATCCTAGCTGCATCCGTTGCCGAGATCCTCCTCGACCCCATGTAGACCATGATGCACCTGCAGCAGCGCCCCCGGGGCTCGGATCGGATTTGCTGCCACCGGGCGGTTCTCAGGGTCACCCAAGGAGGCTGCATACGAAATTTGGTCAAGATCGGACCACGGGAAGTCCTCGGACGGACGGACGGACGGACGCACAGCAGGGATCATACTATATGCCCGTCCCTCCGTCATTTTTTACAAAAAATAAACGGGACGGGCCAAAAATCAATTGTGGGTCACTTTTTTTAAAAATGCATATTTAAAATATAAATGTTGAACAAGTAGCCAAAGTAGCTTTGAGACGTTCAAATATGATCCCTTGACTACGTTTTGCAGCATAGAAGCCTCGTCTTTCGTCCTCGTTTACTGAGCTACAGCAGTTTTTAAAACTGGCTGTTTTGGCCCACAATTGATTTTTGGAACCAATTGTGGGTCAGCAATCTTTGAGGCTACTCGCGCGCCAAGCCTTGTACACCACTTACCAAACTAAGGTTGACGTTAAGTCCTTCACCTACACTGTCAGAAATTTTGTCGTAAATTAGCGACAAAAACGTCGCTAATTTTGATAGCGACAAGAATCGTTCTGAAACTACTAAGTCGACGACAATGTCGTTATCGCGATTACATATTTTGAAATCTGAAATCCCCGAAAAGTTGATGAAAAGTTGCAATTTTGCTCGCTTATTTACGATTTGTGTCGTTCATTTACGATTGTTTACACAAATTTACGACAAGATTCGTAAATGTACGACTGAAGTCATAACTGCACGACATACTCTATAGATAAATTACGATCGTTCGTAAACTAACGATTAAGTTGTAAATTTACGACGTAATTCGTTTCAAAACGGAACGTCTCGCTATCAAAATTAGCGACAAATATGTCGTAAATTTACGACTCAAGTCGTATATTTACGACTTGAGTCGTAACAAAATATGTCGCTTTAAAACGACATTATTGGAGTCGCCACAAACTCTCCCTGAAACGAACTTGCTTTTGTCACAAAAAA